GTCAACACTGATTGCAAAACCCTTCATCCCTATGTGTGTAGTTCGCAAGGAGAAAAGGGTTTTGCTGCAGCAGTCCTACTGTATCATCCTATGACAGCTCAGTAGACTAATCAAAGCTAACCTTTGTAGTAAAAAGAGTAACTGGTTAAACGGTCCCATCTTCATGAAACTCAAATCACACATACAAAAAATATGTTAAAAGAACAAAGGAGGCAGCTGCCATGTCAGTTAGCTGCTTACCCCATCACATTTCAAATCCCTGATCCAAATTATAGGGTAGCTAGAGCTTTTCAATGAAAAGACCACCAGTTTTCTTTTACCATGGAAGACCATGCATTTTTCCCTATTTTCTTTCTTGGAAATGGCTTAACTATTTTAGCTTAATTAATTAATTAAACAAACTCCCAGACTGAGTCAGCTACCAAGTAGGTATGTTAAGAAGTGGGTGTTTAACTTATTGAGTAGTTAATAGAATTTTTATTGACTACTCGATTCATCGATAGGCAGCCCAGCTCTGTCCCAGCTCACGCCGGGTCCAGGACCAAATCCCACTGCAGCTCTGCAATTTAAAATGCAGTAGGAGCCGGATAATTCTGTCGACTTCTCAGTTAGGAGTCAGAGCTATGGCCCTGTTCCACTTCATGCCAACCTTCAGAAAAAGGGGTATGCATCGAGGGAAATAATTTACTCCATCTTAATGTATATAGCAGATTGTTCACTCCCTTTTGTGCATGGAACAGCCCCAAACTGTGCCTTTCCTCCTTCTGGAGGAACTCTACACCTTTTCCTACACACAGTTGCAACATTAATGACACAATGCCAAAAACTTACACCCCTACTACCAAGCACACAAAATTTAGGACCACTACCTAGTTTGGCAAAGTTATAAGCAACTGAAAACAAGATTTTATAGTGGAAAGTTTACAGAAACTGTATTTACTGGTGCTACCAGCCCCTACAATTCTACATATAGCTCAGTCCTGCAACTACATTGAGTAGTCATAAATGTAAGCTGCAATACGTTATGGATTTTTCATTTATATCCAAGCAACTCTAGAAGCAAATCTGACCATAACTATTGGCAACTCTCTGATTTGTTAAGCTGTGTAACTTTGATTCTATACTACATCAAAAATGCAAGTACCACATTACAGTAGCCAGGTAACATTGGTATAGTTCCTTCATTTGTTAAAAGAGTATTTTATTTAAAAAGATTCACAAGAAGACAGAAGGATTTTTTATATCCTTAATGAAAATCTGAACTTATTTTATTCATATTTAGGAACATTTTTTTTTCTCTTCCTACAGGCTGTGAATGTCAAGTTTCTTATCCAAAGAGATTGCATGGTGAAAATCTAAACCACTGGAAAGAGGGATTTTAATAGCACTATTGACCCAAAGTTAGCTATACCATCACAAACAAAGCTCTTTGATATATTGTTACCTTACGGTAACAAATAGCGTTAAAGCTGCCCTGCAGTTTGATACTCAACACTTCTATATTAATGTAATGTGACAACGTTATTATGTTTACTATTTCCCATGCCTTAATAGTGGTATTTATTTCCACAAATATGGCATAATGTTCACTAATGTAGTTACACTCATGGACTGTGCTGTGGGAAACAGATGTAAACTCACAGAATTACTCTTGTACAATACAACAGAGCATTTGATTTGGGTTTTTAGTATTTGCTGTTGTTGCCAGTCATTTTCAGCCTGCTCTTATGAAAAAGCTGAATGCCCAGAGAGGACCGTTTTCACTCCACAACCTGCTGTTACTAATACTTAGGATGCTCGTGATATATTTTCTCAGAAGAATCAGGATGCCGACCATTTGTAAGAATAGTCATTAACTGTCCTTTGTGCACAGCCTTCTACATAATCCTGGTCTGTGGGAACCATTTTCTAGTGGCCTACTTTGCACTTAACAGTATAACATAGTACATATCACCTCTATGGTGGATTGCTGTTCTGCATCTCCCAGTGTCATGTCATAGCAGAAGTACTGATAACCTCCTCCTCATCTTAAGTGAAAAAAAAATGTTTTTCTTTCAGTAAATAGGAAACAGCACCATGTAGCATGTCCTTACTTTATGCCATCATGGACATTAATGATACACGATGATACAGTATTATATTGGGTACATTTAAGTCTCAGCAATTTTACTGATTCAAGTGGTATTCCCAAACATGGCCCTCTATGCTATAAACTGAGACATTCTTGTATGAATCAGTTTATGAAGAGGATATTAGCCTCACTCTTCCAGGGACTAAATTCCCTGGGTGGAATCATTAGAATTTTTTCCTCATTGCTTACATATGCTTACATTGTGCTATATAGGATATACACAGTTCGCCAGAGGAGGAGACTGCTTCATAGTATGCTTATTTTGAGCTGAATTTTGATACCTTTAACTTATGCTGAATAGCACTTTACTTCAAAAAAATTTCTCACATATATTTGCACAGCTCTCACAACTCTATTTGTCTGAACAGATTTTTCCCATTTCCTCTGAACCTTCTGCTGTGGAAATTAAGGAACAAACAAGATGTATGCAAGTGAAGACTAGAGACAACACAAAGTGAAACTTTCATGAATTGAGGTCTCTTTGGTTGACATACTCAAAATGTCAACATAAAAACAGTGACGTCATTGGTACAAACTTCAAGAAATACATTAACTAAAACTTCCCAGAAAAGTCAGGAAAAGTACCTAGACAATATTTTAATTTTAGTCCTCTGAAAAATAAATAGGATTTTAGATGCTATACTTATTAAATCACAGACAATGATACTACAGGTATCTTTATTTTACTTTTCACTTAAATTGGTCAATTGTAAAGGGCAACATACCTTATAGTAATTTAGCTTTTGTTACTCTAGTATACTACATGCAACATTTTGATATATTCTGTTTTACATAGGTTTGTAAATATAAAACAGGCAATTCCAAATGTACAAACTAACAAGCACAGACATTTTCTTATGCTAGAATACTAGGACAAATACCCAGTTCCTGTAAATCAGTGCAGCTCTGTTGGCTTCAATGCAGCAATACTTAAAACGCACCAGCTGAAGACTGCATTTATTGTGTTTTAAAGTGCATTTATTCTTCTGCAACAAAAAACTATTACTAAAATGACAAGAGATAATTCGGCTGCCCTTAACTGAGCCAAATTCCTATTGATATCAGTGTAAACTCAGTTCAGTTAAACACTACAGAATTTTACTCAGGGTTTTGAGATGTGGGAAAACCTTCCCAAATTTCCACTTAGTTTTTAATCATCATTCTTTCCCTCAGGCCTTTTCAAAACAGTATTAATAAGACACATACAAAAGTATACACAGTATCCAAATTAGTATCAACACCAACTGCCTTCAGTAGTACCAGAACCTCACTCATTTATCTGCAACACAGTCCTCTGAAATTTGGAATTATACGTCTGCAATCTCCCAATCTATCAAAGTGCAGATCTCCAGAGATGGTTTTCTTCCACTTTTATGATGGGAGATCATGTGAAAATGGGTACAGTTTGGGCAACAATTACAAATAATAACACAAAACCCTAACAAGGAGAACCTCCTGCCATTAATTTTCCATATATTTTCATTTGTAATCTCAAATATTTGATTAAACTGGTTGGGACCTACCATCTGAGCCAAACATTATTAACTCCTTCCAGATTATCACAGTTACTATACTGGTCTAGATCTTGTCCAATGAAGAAATGAACATTGTTGTAGACTACACAGCCAAAATTGCAGATAGTAACCAAAACCAAAATAAAATGAAAAAAAAAAACCCACCTGAGCCATAACTAGATATCCACATTGACATTTTCTAAGGCTACATCTATACAGCAGGGTCATTTGAAAATAACTGATGTAGTGTAGCATGTCTATACTACAAGCCATTATTCTGAAATAATGACGAACTGGAGGACTTCTTACTCTGACTCATGGTAACCCTCCTTTCATGAGGAGTAAGAAGTCAAAGGGAGAGTGTACTCCTTTTGACTTCCGACTGCATAGACAACGCCAAAAGCCGAAATCAACTATTTGAACTTAACCCACGCAATTGACGTAGCTCAAGTTGTGTAGCTTAATTTGACTTTTTCCCTGTAGTGTAGACGTACCCTAACACATTTGGTAGGATGTGGAAACCACACTATCATTAAAATACACACACACACAACTGTAAAAATCAAGATGCCAAGTTTGACTACAATGCCTTTCTTGTGAATATGCAAAGGTTCCCAATAATCAGACATCTCAAATGAAGTAAAGTTTAATCTTTACAAAAAAAGCCTTGATAGTTTCTTTTTAACCAAACTCAGTGCTGCATTATTGCAATTTCACCCCAGGTGAACTCTAGTGAAATCAGAGGGTCTAAACTGCATAAACCAAAGCAGCACACTGATAAAGCAGGTCCCATATTCATCACAATTTGAATTTGTACTTGAGGATCAGGTGGTTAGTACATGATATTTTGGTTTATTCAGATTTAAAAAAAAAAAAACTAAAACACTTGGTGTGCTTTTCATTTGACACAGCTTAATGTGTCACCTAAAGAAATCTACAAAGATAATGAGCCTTGTCAACTGTTTCAAAGTAATTACAGCTTTCATGATACAAAGTTAAAAAATTACAGTATCGCTTCAGATAATGAAATGTGAAAGGTTTTTTTAAATAAAAAAACCTATTTGTAATGTTTATGCAAGGCTCATTTCAAACCGGTAATGATCAATGCATTTTATATGCAATCAGGTATCATAAACCTAAATTCTTCCACATTGTTAGATGCAATATTGTTGCCCCCCCCTCCCATTTCTACTGTAATGCTTCATCACATTCTTTCTATAAGCATCATAGATTTTCTCAAAGATTTGCCAGTTCAATTAACTATATAACATTAGAATAATATAAATTTCAGACACTTGCTTAATACTGCCCTAGAGCTGTAAGGCTTTTAAATAAACATTCTCTAATATACTTACGGTCATTGCACAATGGTCCACTAAAGGAGGTCATACTGCAGTCACAGCTGAATCCATCCCACTGCTGCAAGCACACTCCTTGGTTTGCACATGAATCCTCTTGGCATGTGGTACTGGGCCCTGATGAGAACATACAAAAGGGACTAGCATTTTGTTTTTCAAAGTACCATGTTTGTCTTTGGATCACATAGTAGTTGCCAACATCTCAAATCTAATAAGCAAAGGGATCGAAAGTAGAATTTATTTAAAACTTTCTGTGTTATGTGGAGGCATGTACAGTACAAGATCTTTTATTTTGGCTCCGAAACTGACAGAACATAATTTATAAATATAAAGAGAATGAACAGAGGCAAGAGTGAATTTGAGGGCAGTAGGGAAGTTAACATTATAGCAAGCATGGTTAATTTCACATCACACCATTAACTGGCTAAATTTTTTTTTTAGAACGTCTATTTATTTATTCTTTTTCCTGGTCAATATATTCAAAACAGCAAAATCAGGTATCGTGGAAAATGGGAAATAAAGCTAAATGAACCAAGATCAGAAAATTAAAAACAAGCTAAGAAATGAAGCTACATTGTATTGTACCTTAAATCCCAAAAATTACTTTTAAAAAGAGCTGAGTCTAAAATAAAGAGTTTGGTTTTGGTATTGTTTTGTTTTTGGCAAGAATGTTGGCAAGTATTGATGCACATGCTTTAGTGATCCCATGCAGGTTCTTTTTTAAACCAAAAAAAAAAAAAAAATCAGTACTAATGAGCTGGCATGCCCAAATGCGACATACACATGAAAAACAAAGCTATTCTATTTCTAGAGATTCATAACTAGACCACTGAAAAATAAAAGAATTTTATAAAGGTATGATCAAAGTATTAAAGTAATCACTATACAAACATATTCAAGACTGAAAGCCTTTATGCAAATTATGCTGTAAAATAAAGGTTCTTGTATCATGTTTAGAGGAAAAAAGAGTAAATCAGAGTTTATTGCAGGAAATGTACAGAGCATTTATTGTACGAATCCAACTGCATTCTGGGTTTCAGTCTTGTTTAATACACACAGGGCTATCTACCTTGCAAATCAGCTTTCATCAATGCAACTTTGTCAGCAAAATAAAAAAGCAAAATATATTAAATGTTAATAAGCAATATTGAAATGGCAGCAAACACAGAAAAACATTCAGAATAAAGTGCATGCTTTGCTGTTAAAGAGAGAAAGAAATGCCATATAACAGAAACAAATTAATGCTAATAGCCATAAATCTTCAGGCAAGCAAAAATGAGAAAGCAGTAATTTGCCATTATTTTACTACAAATATAATGGTTAATTGAGCTGATGATATGCAATGAAGGCAACTTTTTTTCTTCTTCTTGGATAGATATGAATGCATTAGCAAAGTGAATGCATGGCTGCGTCCTGACTAGCCATTTGTCATGTTCAGATACAGTGAATTCTACAGTCATTAGCACATTCTCCCTTCCCATTTTCCTCTCCTCTAGACCTTTCTATGTGATTGTGAGAGAATTAAGATTGAAATATACATCATGAACCATATATTGCCTTGGATCCACATATATAGATCTCCCATTGACATGCACTAATTAAGGAAATAATCATGAATTTTTAGACAGCAGCTTGTGACCTGTATTCAGAAAAGAAGGAACATCTAGGACAGCCATTCTAATTTCTAAGCAATTTTGAGTTCAAAAGTTTTTTTTTTAAACATTTGGGCATTACATCATTCTTTGTATGCATTTGGGTATCATAATGGTTGACAAGTCCCTCACATTTTTTTTTAAACCAGAATCTGCTACTTGGACACCTTACAAAAATGAAGTGCAAATATGTGTAGGTGTTTAAATGCTATATATTCGTGCATTTATTTACACATTGGTTATGCAATGTTAGATCTCATCATCTATTTAAAATTAGAAAAATGTCATGTGAAATTAACGTAAAAAACCCACAGATACCAAAGCCAAAAAAAAAAAAAAAAAAGCAAATGCTTAATTACATGGGTGTGGAAGGAAATACTTTGTGCAACTTAGGGAGCAATGGCCTTATTGAGTTTTTGCTATTGCTCATATCATTCTGAGTGTTTATGAATTTGCAGTTCTTATATATGATGTATAAATATTTCTCCAACACAATTTGCTCAGAAACAGATTGGTGACAACCACATGACTGATTTTAAGTGAAATAATATTTTTTTAAGACTATACTTGTTGACAGAATAAAGTATGTTTAACTGATGCTAGCAAATATCACACTACCTATTACCATTGGGTCCATAATTTTATATACATATTATAGATTAATTTGTATTTATCTAAACTACTTAATAAGGTGTTAAAATATGCTACTTTGAGTAGCTTCCTTATGGTTCCAATTAGGGATGTAAGAGTTTAACCATTTAATCAGTTAACAGATAAGTTGATGCTTATAGATTTCTGTTACCAGGAATACTGTGCCCGCTCCCAGGGCATTGGCTGACCCATGCTGTGGGCTCTGTAGTGTGAGCTGGCTCTCAGAGAGTCTTCTGCCATGCAGTGCTACAGCCTCTACCAGCACCACTTCTGGCCTTGCTCTGAGGGAGACAGCACCCTGGGAGCGGGACCCACAGCTGGGAGCTGGCATGTGTTGGGAGCCTGTCAGTTGCAAAACACACAGCGTTAGGCTGCCAGCATCCTGGGAATGGAATCAGCATGGGACATCACTATGTGTGCTGAGGAAAATATTGATATTTGGCATGTTGCTTAAAGACCAAAGTCATGGAGTCCATTGATTATATTATCTTCTTAAAGTATGTCCCTATCTCTTATAATTAATGGAGAAAATCTGTATGTTTGAAAACGTAGACAAAAATCCAATATATTTCATTTAATATTGCATTATTATTTAACAATGCAATTAACTTCATGATTAACCACAATCATTTTTATAAGTTGAGTAATTTGTTTTGAGTTAATTATGTGAGTTAATTGACAGCCCTACTAAAAGTGCTATTAAACCTGGACTATATTTGATTACCTGGATATGGATAAGAGCTCTGGTAAGTAAAATAGGCTACTGCCTATTTTTTTATTCTCTTTCATTTTATATGACAAACTAGCTCTGCAATTCTCAAACTTTAGCAAGCCTAGTATCCAAGTTTTGATTAAAAAAAAATTAGGGACCTTCTGACAGATGCCTCCTCTGTTCTCCTCCTGCCTCCCCACACACACAGGCTCCATCCTGCCTCCCTCTGTCAGTCACTCACCTTCATTGGGCTAGGAAAGGAAATTGGTGAGGATAGGGGTGGGTTGTGGGTGGGGCCATAAATGAGGGATTTGGGATGCAGGAGGTAGCCCCTGCTGGGCTCGAGGGTTGGAATATTGGGGGTGAAGGCTTCAACTGGGGGTGAGGATGTTAGGTTTTATCCTTCCTTGAGCAGGGGAATATTGCCTAACCCCAGTCTTCTACGAGGAGATTGGGGGTTGGAGATTGTGGACTCTGGGAGGAAGTTTGGGTGTGGGAGGGGACTCCAGGTATGGAGCAAAAGTTTCAAGGTGCAGGGTCCCAGCAGTGCTAACTGAAGCTTCTTGAAGTAGATGCCAGGTTCCGGCAGCTTGTAGGTGCTGGAGCAGCTAGGGAGGCTCTATACATTGCCCTCATGTCCAAAGGCATCATCGCTTTAATTCCCACTGGTTGTGCTTCCCAGCCAAGGGGAACAGCAGAGCTATCATTTGGGCAGGGGCAGGGCATGGCTGCCCCTGATTGCCTCTGCATCTAATGGCATAGGACCTGATGGATGCATCCATGAGCTACAGTATATGGGAGAAGGACATGTAGGGAGCCTGCACGAGCCCCGGGATATAGATCCTAGGAGGCACTGTGAGGGAGAAAGGGAAGAAAGAGAGGGTGGAGTTGATTAGCGAGGCCTACACACTCCCAAGAGTTTGTCCATGGACATACATGACTAGTAATGTAGGCAAGGGAAGGCCAATTGCCTTCTGAAAATTGCCTACACTGCCTAAGTGCCCAGGAGGGGTTGGGGCTGCACCATGTGGCAGCCCGGCTTCCCACCGGCCTGTGAAGTTTGGGGCCACACCATGTGGCAACCTGGATCCCCAGTGGCTGGGGAAGGCTGAGACCATACCATGCGGCAGCCCCATCCCTCAGCTGGGGTTAGGTGGGGCTTGGCTGAGGGTGGGGGATGGGATTTGGCTTTGGGCAGAAGGGGCACAGCTTTGGCTACCTTCCCCAACTGGGCCTTCACCCACCGCCAGTGTCCACAGACCAGAGTCTGGGAAACTCTGAACTAAGTTATATAATCACTGATATGGAAATCCTATGAGTTGCAAGCACTTAGCAGTTTCTTGTAAATCCATACAAATAAGCCAAACCTCTCCATGTCTTACAGGTGTGAAAGTAGGGCCCATCACTTCTCTCATTGAATTAATGGGAGTTTTACTAAAGAATTCATTGGAAACAGGACCTTTAGCACATAGCACAAAACATGGAGGCTACGTCTACACTGGCCCCTTCTTCGGAATAGCCATGCTAATTTAGAACTTTGGAATAGGGAAATGCGCGGGGGATTTAAATATCCCCCGCGGGATTTAAATAAACTTGGCAGCCGCTTTTTTTCCGGCTTGGGGAAAAGCCGGAAAACCCTATTCCGGAGGATCTCTTATTCCTACTTTCAAGTAGGGCTTTATTCCGGAGGATCGCGCCAGTCTGGACGCTCTTTTCCAGCTTTTCCCCAAGCCACAAAAAAAGCGGCGGCCATGTTTATTTAAATCCCCCACGCATTTCCCTATTCCAACGTTCTAAATTATCATGGCTATTCCGAAGAAGGGGCCAGTGTATACGTAGCCGGACAGTTTATTATGTCCATTATGTTTATTATGTCTTTATGTTCCAGTCTAGACCTAATCCAAAATCCATTTATATCAATTACAGTCTTTCCACTGATTTTAGGAGGTTTCGGATTATCTGAATACACTAAAAGTAACACATAGAAAGCCCTTCCACATTCAGATGAGAATAGGCCATTTTGTTTTAATTATTGAAATGTGTTTATTATTGTATCAGTTGTCCAAAGTGAAATAATACTGATTATTTAATGAAAACTAGACTGAAACTTGTTAGGTTAGTAATGTATACTACACAGTTTGTTGCATCATTAATCTTTTATATTTCATCTTTTAAAGTGAAAAATTATGGTTCAAATTACACAGAAAATTTAACAACAGTTTTTCTTAATAAAAATCACACTCATCTGTCATACTTTTATTCTGAAGAAGTTTTCATTATTCTGATGATTTCTTTACAGAGGGTTTATAGCTTTCATACAGTCTAAGTACATAAATAGATGTTTAGGGATTATTTTAAGAATTAGTGTGAATGAATGGAGGGCATGTCAGTCCCAAGATATTAGAGAGACAAGGTAAGTAAAGAAATATGATTTATCGGATCAACTTCTGTTGATGAGACAGACAAGCTTTTGAGACACACAACTCCTTTCCTTTCCCAGACCTATAGAAGCTCATCTCTGTCACTAGCAGAAGTTGATCCAATAAAAGATATTCCTTCCCCCCATGACTCTGTGAAGAAATGGAACAGATGGTAAATCAAGGAATCATTATTAATAGCTCAGTCTTACTAGCTTGATTTTGTCTGGATCAAAGCCCTTCATAATCTCTGAAGAGACTCCATTTACTTCAGTGAGTTTTGGATCAAGCCCATTAAGCTAAACCATCACGTAAGGTAAAATTCACTTCCAGCTGATTCTATGGGAATTCTCCATGAGGAGTGAACCTGGCCCTTTAAGGTAGGTGGGCTCAGCACCACCTATGACTAATTAAGCTGCTTCCCAAGGGATGTGTTTGAAACCACAGATCTTAAAGCAGGTCACCTACTCCTCAGATAAAAGATTAGCAAGTATCACAGTAAGAGAGAAAACCAAGGGGAATAATCAGGTTCCTAGGGAAACCATAGACTAGGAGAAAGGACCTGGAAAGGAGCTTTCCATGCCAGATTGGTGGGTGAAGTAGGGCTCAATGAAGCAGCTAGAAAATCATGTGAACCCATAAAGTTTGAGTGCAGTGCCCCAGCTATTTATAGAATGAATGGGGAAAGATAGGTGCCGCCCAATGGGAATCCCACACCAAGCATTGTAGACAGCTTCTCACCTAAAGAACCAATGGGAGATGCTAAACTGTGTGTGTTTCTGGGAGAATGCTAACCCTCATCTATCTCTTGGATACAAGTTCATAGGTCCAAGCTGCGGGCAGTTGTGTCCTGCAGCTGCAAAGCTTCTCTGGGTGTAAGACACCTGTACTATTTTAGTAAGGAAGAACCTTTGTTATAACTTCGAGGCTTGTGGACAATGAGGCTACTTATTGGGAGACTCCCTTTCCATCTGAGTTCAAGTCCCCCCGTCATCTGAGGCAGCAAAGGACTCTGAATTGAGATCTGCTATCTCTCAGGTGAATACTCCAACAGCTGGGCTATACGACTATCTGATGTGGAAAGAGGGGGTGTCTCATTCTCTCCTGTTGAAGCTGTATAATTGTAAAAGGTCATCGAGCAAAAAAAAAATTAGATCCTGGTCTCCCATCTCTAACCACTATGATACAGTCATTCTCATGCATGTTCTCTCTCTCTTGTTCTCTGGCCTTATGTAGAAGCTATGTTATCGTGGATAAATAATGAGAGAATCACTAGGCCAGAGAAAGAGAGAATGAATTAAGCTTAAGCCTTCATTAAAACAAAAACCAAACATTTTCTTGATTTGAAAGTCATTGAGAGAATATTAACATGGAACATCAGAGTGCCATTTTTGCAGTTGCTTTTCAGAGCAGAATAGTACTTTAGTATTAGTAATGTATTGGAAGTGAGCTGCTACATTCAGAATCAAGTGAACACATTTCATGTAGGGACAGAGAATTGATTTAAACTATGTGGAAAGAAGGTACGAGAGGAATTAGAGAGAGACCCAGCAAAAACCATAGTTGAACTCCTTGAAATCAATATTCATATTTTGTAGCTGGGTCCCATCTGCATCAATAACCGAAACTTTAATCACTGTGGCAAAATCCTGGCTTTCTTATTTAAACAAATATTTTAGAGCCTAATTCATCCAACACTATTCATACAGGGTGTGAGAGAGAGCAGTTTGGCTTTATTAATTTCAGTGGGTAGGAAAGTTTTCAACTCCACTCCCCAACCCCTGCCATTATAACCCAAGTAGGAAGCATAATTCAGGGCAGAAACTGGAAGACTTCTTATACATTAGCTAATGTTAAAGTGCTATATAAAAATTAATTGTTACTTTTACCATGAATAAATAAATATACCACAAACGAAAGACTTGAAAATTAGTTCATCACTATAGAAGAATCCACAGATTATATTCAAGATACTAAATATATTCTCAGGTTAGTTTGTGCTTTGTTGAGTAGAGTTATACATTTCTTACTCAGAATCATCTACTCTCATTATAGTGTATACAAGTTATGCCACAATTGTTTGTGTGTATGTGTAATGCTGGTTACATAGGTAAAATATAAACCCATTATGTATATACTACAAATTAACAGGCCTAGCAGGACAAGATACAAAAATATCTGCTTAATTTTGGAAGTGCATATGATAAAACTACTATATTGTACCTTCACATCCTCTTTCTATTTGTCCATTGCAAAACAGGGCATCTGAGATCAGATCGGGGAGACGTCCATTTAGATCCACTGATGCAAGGCAACCTTGAAATCCCTCCTTTGCATGCACCAGTTTTGGTAAGGATTTATACATTTCTTTCGCCACTCCTCCAATATACAAATCACCTGTTGAAAAGAAGTAAATATTAGTCTTAGAAAATGACTAGTCATAAGTAGGTCTTTTGGTCCACTTAAATTTCTGGACTTGTAGTTTGACATGATATATATGGTATGGAGACACCATCACTATAGTGCTCTGAGAGCTCTGGGATGTTAAAACTTGCTCCCTCTTCAGTGCAAAATGTCATGATAAAAAAAACACTTGTGTGACTGAGGAAAATAAAAAGGGTGAAAAATATGCTTCCCACAACAATGAACAAGTGGAAAAGAGCTTTTCTTTTATCAGGCTGACTTCTAGAATTCCTAATTGAATTATTTTGATTCTGTGAGATTTTTGCTTCATTTTTTCCAGTACTCATGTATTAAGGGTTCCTATTGTCTTTTACAAGACCTCTTTTAAAATCAGAATAAATATATCTTGCAGGTCTGATGTAACCTTAGTGTTAGATATTTAGACTTTTTGATATCTAAATGAAAGATATAACAGGATCTGTCTGTTTCAAGTGTCTAAAAGTACAATACCACCATACTATAGGATTATTATTTATTCTGTGCCATAGGATAAGTAGAATAAGATAAATCCTTGATCTCAACAAGCTTTTACCCCAATGTAACTGTCTGTGTTATAATTTGTTAATAGAATTCTTAGGTGATTACATGACCTCATCACCATAGGATCTGAGCACTGTGTTAAATGTATTTTCACATTGATAAAGTGGTGAACCAATTAGTGGACTTGCACTGCTCAAGAAAGAGACTTGAACAGTACAAGACAGTATGTTCCTGACGTTCAAGGCTCAGAGCCGGAGTGACTTTGCTGGTTTATTTCTCTGTGTGTTTCATGAGTGACTCTGGGAGCATTCATGTAATTTAACTTGATGTGGGGCTCCACATGCATTTAAGCTGAGTGATAACATGATTGTAGCTCAGGGGTGGGCAATAATTTTAGATGGGGCACCACTTCAGAAATTTTTCAAGTGGCCCTGGGCTACCCCAGAAGGGGTGGGGCCTCAGGCAGAAGGGTCAGGGTCAAGACACTTCCCCGCCCACAGACCCGGATTGGCCTGGGAGTGGAGACAGCATGCAAAGTTGTTGTCCCCTGTTGTTCTAAACCACTGGCAGGAGGAGACTTTGCATGCTCCCCCTGCCCCAGGTCAATCAGGGCCTGGGGACAGGGGGATCACGGGAAGTCTCTCTTGCCTTGTCCCCACTCTGCAAGGGTCATACGGTGCTTAGAGTCAACCGCCAGGGAGATTTACCTGGGTGGTCGACAAATACCTTTGATGTCGACACCCGCGCGTCCAGACTATCGCGCTGAGCCGACAAACAGCTGATCAGCTGTTTGTCGGCTCAGCGCGATAGTCTGGACGCGCGGGTGTCGACATCAAAGGTATTTGTCGACCACCCAGGTAAATCTCCCTGGCGGTTGACTCTAAGCACCGTATGACCCTTGCAGAGTGGGGACAAGCACACCCCTGGCAAGGGAGACTTCACACACTCCCCTGTCCACAGGCCCTGATCAGCCTGAGGGCTGGGGAACAGTAGGGCATCCGCAGCCTGGATCAACCTGCTTGGCTGGCCGCATCTGGCCCATGGAGGCCCTTTTAGCTACCCCTGTTGTAGCTCTATGGAGGAGGGACAGTATTTTTGTTCCATTTAGTGCCTAGAATAATAGTATCCAGGCCCACAATGTTATTGCAATACAAATGATTAATACAAATAATTATGAATGTCAGTGAATTATATACAATATCTCTGTAGTGGTACATTAAAAAAAACTATGGTTGTCAAACATTGAAAAAAATAACAGCAATTAGTCATGAGATTAAAAAATACTTGCCATTAATAGCAGTTTTAATTGCACTGCTAAACAATAATAGAATACCAAATTAATTTTATTATAAATATTTTTGGATCTTCTTCTAAACCCCCACATATACTTATTTCAATTAGAACACAGAATATGAAATATCCAATGAAATATTTGTATTATAAAAAATAAATAAACACAATCATATTTTTCAATTCACTTCATCCAAGTACTCTGGTGCAATCTCTGTACTATGAAAGTACAGCTTTCATATGTATGGTTTGTGTGTGTGTGTATGTGTGTGTGGGGGGGAGGGTTCTTTTTGCATAACTGCACTCAAAACAATGTAAAGCTTTAGAGCATATAAATAGATGCATGAACGGCCATAGAAATGCCTCCTCTAAGCCTCCCACATGCCCTGATGCCTGCACTTCCCAGACCATCAAGCCCCTTCCCTGAAGGACCCAAGTAATGCTGGGAAAGTCTTCTAGTTAGCAATATTTATAGCAATTTATGCTAAGAAAAAAGTAATTACATCTCACAATTCAGACCATAAGTTTGTTGCCTGCTGAAGTTCAAAAAAGAATTTTCTGCCCACCCCAAATAGCTGGGGGATTTGAAGAGCATGCTCTGCTTTTCTTTGGCGCATTACTTATTGTCATCTCTTCATAGTAGGAAATCAGATAGAATAGACTAGTGGTCTGATCTGATATAGCAATTCCTATTTTCCCTCAAGTAGGGCATAATTAATTCCTTAGTAGGACTGGAATTGGTACAATGGTCCATTGCATTGGAAATAAGACAAATAATAAAAATGTTCCATCTTTTTTCTCATGTGGAACTCATTGAAAATTAAACTCTAAGAGTTTTCCTGAAGTACTTATCTGTCAATTGTTGTATGACATAGATATAGTTTGGCTGAATTTATTATGGTGGTCTTGAAAGTGGTCTATATCAGAAAGGTAAAAAAAAGTCACCAAATATCAGAGCTAATGCACAAAGATTAAGTTTGTGCTCTTTCATTTCACGTTCTTGTCTGCTCTACTATAAAACCGAAAGAAGTTTACATTTCCCAAGCAGAAGCTTCCAGTTTTTTTATTAATAAAAACTTTAGAGATATTGAACAAATTGACAATATTCTAATAATTCCTAGACCTCTTTCCCCAGGCAAGATAGTCCACTGTTACATAAGGACATGTTTTAAAGGGCAGTTATGGTGAATAACTATGACAATGCCAGGTCACAGATGCAATATAAGAAGAGAAGCTCTAAGTATGTACTTCTTGTTGGAAGTTGTCAGCCAGATCAGGGATGGAAAATAAGCTGCAGCAGGTTTGCCAGGGTTAGCCCCTGTTTGGACACCCACATTTTATTTACCTGTATATCCACAGGCATAGCTGCTTGCAGCTCCTGTTGACTGCAGATCACAATTCCCAGTAAATAGGAGCTGCGGGAAGCAGCACAGACCAAAACATCACTTCTTGCATCTCCCATTGGCCAGAATTAACAATCTGTGGCTAATTGGAGCTGCAAAAGGCTGCACCCCCAAGTGCAGGTGCCCTGCCAGGGGCTAACCCTAGCTAACTGTGTCCGGCCTGTGGGCTGCTTATTGACCATCCCCTGAGCTGGATACATCCTCAAATAACCATAAGACCCACAGAAACATGAATGTTATAATATGATGTGAATATTTTATTCATGTTATATAAGATTATTCTTCTAAAAAATTAGTATCACCGTAGTGGCATTGTATGTTTTGTAAAATATGCTTCATGCAGTTGTCCTACTTTGCAACCTACTTGCGTTGCTCATTGGTGACTTTCTGCATAAACTGGAATATTTGAAATATGTTTATGACGACAAAAAAATCTGAGGCAACCATAAGACAACTCTTTCCAGGCTCAGTAAATATCCTGAATAAGCTGCAAGAGGAGGACAATTTATCAGCTGAAGCAGCAGGTTTCAGATCACTGAACTTTATTTTTTATATGCTTCAGAAACTCTCACAATAGCTCAACTACTTAAAAGAAGCACAAGACAAACAAAATAAAACAAAACAAATAAAAATCAGATGCTGGAAAGAATCCAGTTTATTGAACTTGATAGCCAGTGATGAGTTCATAAACCAGGCACTACCACAGATACAATTAATTTGTTAAAAAAAAAGTGACATCTCAGCATTAGCACTATAAAATGGAAGTCTGCAAATCTCATAAAAAAACAAAATCAAATGGCTGAGGTGATGATGCTAGTTAGCCAACATTGTTAAAGGAAATAATGAAAACAGTTTCACGTGATTCCAAAAAATGACCATGTTAAATTATGTCAAGCAAAATACTGAATGATAATATTCTACACTGAGAGAATTATCAGAAGGGTAGCTGTGTTAGTCTGTATCCACAGAAATAACAAGGAGTCCTGTGTCATCTTAAAGACTAAGGCTGCGGCTACACTGCTGGTTTTCTGGAAGAAGACATGCAAATCACACTCGCATTTGCATATCTTCCTCTGATTCTTTTTGCGGACGAGGTTTTTCTGATATTTGGCTCCAAGTAGACAGGTCCAAACATTGGAAAAAAAACCACTTTTGCAAGATCCCTTATTCCTCATAAATCGAGGTTTACAGGGTCTTGCAAAAGAGGGTTTTTTTCCCGACGTTTGGCCCCATCTACACGTTAGTAGTAAACCAGTCATTCCCAGTCTTTATTCAAACCCAATTTAACAGAGTCAAATTTGCAAATGAATTGCAGATCTGCAGTTTCTCTCTGAAGACTTTTGGAAGTTATGTGTGTATTGCTGTGCTGGTAATAGCAGAGCTGGGAATTTTCCATCTACATATTTTGTTGAAGGATGGCTACTTTTAAATCTGTTACTGAGTATCCAGGGAGATTGACGTATGCTCCTACTGAGTTTTTTCTGTTACAATTCTTGTTATCTGATTTGTGTCCATTTATTCTTTTGTATAGAGACTGTCCAGTTTGGCCAATGTACACAACAGAGGAGTACTGCTGGCATATAATGACATATATCTCATTAGTAAATGTGCAGGTAAATGAGCCCCTCATGGTGTGGCTGATGTGGTTAGGTCTGATGATGGTGTTACCTGAGTAGATATGCAGGTAGAGCTGGCAGCTGGGTTTGTTGCAGGGATTGCTTCCTAGGTTAGTGTTTCTGTGGCATGGTGTGTAGTTGTTGG